GATGAGACGCAGTCCACTGGGGCCTGGAGCTATGCTGGACAAACGTATACAGATAGGAAGTTAAGCCTCTTGCAAAGCACGACTTAGTGACAGAGGGATCAGGCGTTAAGACATAAAGCATGTTAGGATGGTTCATGACAAGAGCTTTTAAGAAGGGTCATTCCAGTTCAGCAACACACTCACATCTAAGTTCACTCAAGCATTAAGATATTTCTAATGTAAAGGAATTTGATAACTTGATTACTTGAAGGTTATTTCAGTTAACCGCTGTGCTTAATAAAACTTTACCATCAGTATTTATCTGCAGCTGTGGATGGATGGCTATCACTGAAGAACCAAGAGGACATTAAAATCTCATGAGAATTTTGGAGGAAGTTGTAGGATTGGAGTCTAATGTGACCATATTTAGACTCTGGGGATTTTTATTTTATTTTTGTTTGTGTGCCTTTGTAGGGTTATAAGTTGAAAGCTCTAACTGAACTACTGAACAAAGTCTATTCTCATATAATTATTCATCGTATTGCATTTTTCTTTTCAAGCACATCCCTCATCCAGTGACATAAACTAAGAATATGAAGTGGATAAAAACTACAATTACTTCTTGAAGAGCGTCAAAGTGTCTCAGGTTTGTGTTCAAAAGCTAGGGGAACATGTGCTGACAGAGACTGACAGATTGGTGTTATACTAATGTTGTGGTAAAGAGGTAGTTAAGCTCTCAACTTACCTGCCAATCTGCCCAAGTTCCAACACTCAGCTGCAGTCATGAGCTTTGGATAATGCCCTTGAAAATTAGGATAAAATTTGTAGAGTCAAAGAGCAATTTGTGCATTTACAAAAAACAACCATTACAAGACAGTGTGGAAAACTATTTATCTTATGTGACAATATAAGTTTTGAGGTTTGATTAGATTTTATTGCTTAAGATATCGCAAGCCTGTTACAAGTTAGTTTAAAGAAGCCAACGCTGATACAGCTGGGTTTGGTCACCTATGCAGGTGTCCCATTGTTCAACCAAAGAACTGAACTTTTTAATTACTGCACCATGTAGTGCTATAAAATAGTTGGTCTTCACACAAAAAAAATTAATTAAATAAAATTCAAACTTAATGCTTTAGAAAAAAAACTTAATCAAGGAAGCATAAGGAGCATCAACTCAGTTCAATTTTATTTATTTTTATAGCACTATTTTTAACAGTCACCCCAAGGCACTTTATATTGTAAAGTTACAACCCTATAATAATACAGAGAAAACATGAAAATCAGACGACCTTGTCTGAGCAAGAACTTGGCAATGGTGAGAAGGAAAAAATCCCTTATAACAGGAAGAAACTTCAAGCAGAATCCAATCATAGATAGATAGATAGAGAGGTAGAGGATAAAAGACACGTGTTAGAAATCCAGTATTTCTATTCCTAATGTTGTGTCACTTATATAAAGTAATAAAGTTGGATGCTCTTATAAAACACAGCTAAAGTTTCAAACAAAAGTTCAGACTTTGGTCATTTCGGACAGGCAGCCAAATGCATCTGTCCGAAATGCTCTTTCTCTTTCTGAGGGGAAACCAATCAGAAAAGTTGTCATAAACTGAGGGGGAAGGAGCAAAAAACGTATTTCATATAAACCGCAAACCTGAACTAAACCCCAGCATAAAATAAATAAGAAACATTTTGAAGGTCAATCGAGTAGAATTCACAAATACAACTAGCTGAAATTGGGCTAATGGATCCCCTTTGAACTGGAAATCTGGAATAACTTGTTAATTTTAAATACAAAGCTTAAATTATTTCATTAAAAACATAGTGTAAGTGAGCTCATATTAACTTTTAATGTGCTTTTGTTTATGTGATAGAAAGCCTAGCTTTATTTTTTGATGAGCATTAGAAGTACTTGTACACAGTCATATCTAAGACACTGCTAATCAACAATAACAATTATCCTGAACACCCAGGAGTCTCTCTATAGGAGCCGTTTGCTTGCTAAATTTGGCCAGCAAGATGAAGTCATGACTGGAAACAGTCATGAATCCACAATGATGAAAACCTAAATACAGCATAACTGATATAACAATAACAACACAACAAAACTAAAGATTTGACATCAAAATTCTGACTAGCCTTGCACTTGGCAGTGAAGAAAATTTCCTCACTGATTTTTTAAAATCATGTAGACGTTATTAAATTAAAGCATGTTGGCAAATATAAAAGTAATTTCATGAAAGCGAGTATACATTTTGAACATATTGTTGAACATATTTCATTTCATTAACATTGTCTGTGTTCACATTAGCGAACTCGTCGGTTGGAATTAAAAACATGCCCTCGTCAGACATTTGCCAGACAACTGCCTCATTTTTCTTGAAACAACATTCTCAGACATTTTGGGAGCCTCCAGGGAGAAGCTGTAGGATGTGACTGAGTAGAAAGACATCTGGTTACCTTGGCTACCTTGGTTAGCCTGATGCCACTGGTCTAAAAAGGTTGGGAACTAGAATCAGAGGCCCAGTGGGAGTTTAGCATTCTTCCTCAAATGATATACACACCCAGCCTGTGCAAATGGTAAGTAACCCACTCTGTTCTGTAACTTATAGTTATTAAGTGAGAAAAATCCTAAAACAGAAGTTTGGTTCTGTGTGTTTTTCCCCACATGCCCATAAAAGACAAC